ACTCAATTGTGTGGGAAACATTCCGCGAGGCACAGTGGTGTCTGAGTTGCTGGCTTGGAATAAATGAAAATGGTGCTCTTGTACGCATGAAATTAGGGTTAATATTGTGCCATCTGTGAAGATCGTCTAGATATCTGAGATCTCGGCCGAGCGTCTCTGCTATAGTTAGAGAGTTCGAAGAATCCTTCGGATTTGAATATCGAATAATATTCGAAAAAAATATTTCGATTATTCGATTATCGTGTATATTCGAAAATAGAAGATTTCCAATATCCAACCATCGGATAATATTCGAAAATCAAGATTTTCGAACAATCGACTTTCGAATGATTTTCGAATATTGAATATTATTAGAAAGTCGAATGGTACTCAAGTTTCGAATAATTCGAAAGTCAAGTATCATTCGATTTTCGTACATTATTCGAATAGATCGAAAATTTATGATGAAGAACGGCTTAGTGATACATCAGAGACTTGAGAACCTAAAAGCCTACTCCTATGACGGTTGTGAAAAAAGTTTTAGAAATTTGAAGAAGATTATCATTTCAAACTGTGGCGTTTCCGAGTAGTGAGTAGTGACTATTACGACATAGAAAGAAGGCCCATTTTGCACACTTTTCAGGGTTGCTTGCGGACCATTCCAAACCTGCATACCTCTCATTAAGTGTTGTATGTTGATGCAAGGAAAATCCCGAAACTGTGTGAGCCCTCTTTGATCATAGTTGGCCTCCCACAAATTCCTTTGCCGAAATTAGTTGCCTTCCTTAGAGTTGGCTTCAGCTTAGATCTGCTATGGAAAGAATTGTCGATTGGTTTTCACTAGTGTCATTACCGTAGAAGAACTGAAGAGGGTTTTGAGACATTGAGAGCCATATTTTGCCTAACACAGGAAACCAAACCTAAAAACTCTTACATTAGGCTTTAGTCACTGACTACAGTTATCTGACTTGCACCCAACCGCAATGCTTTTCCACAACTTCTTACGCCGGATACACCGTAATAAACGTCATGGCCTTAAAGAAAAGGATCACAAAGATGCATATAAATGACTACCTAGCATTTGCTCATCAGCGCACTCGGGATATTATGAGATCACCTTCGCACCTTAATTAACAAATCTCGCACTTCCGGTTGTCAATTACAATACCGCTCACAGAATGTGCAAAATTTCCGAAAATTCCGCGAAATTTCCGGAAATTCGCGGAACTTGGCGACATCCCCGGAATTTCGCAGAATTCCGGATATTTCGCGGAGGTTTCGGAATTTAGCGGAATTTTCGGAATTTCGCGACATTCACAGAAATTTTGCAAGTTATGTGGGTAGTATTGTATCTGGCTGATAAACTGACAAAACGGTGATTTTCTCATCTGCTGCTAGCAGATGAACGTTGAAAACGTCATTGAATTTTTTCATTCACTTTCATGCTGAAGTGAATTTCCAATTAGACGGATTATTCGACGTGCTAACAACATTTCTTACATTGTTTTGCTGCTGGTGGCAGATCGTAGGACAAATTACTTGCCAAATCACACGAGTTTCGAATTTGAGAGCTAATACATGAGAAGGCGATTTTGTAACATCATAATCCAACGAACAATGCAGATAAACCTCTGTGTTAAGCATGGTCCGGTAGAGCTGTTCACGCGAGTATTTCCTGTTAAAGGGGTTCACAGATAAACTTTTCTGTATATCGCTGATTAGAACTGCTAAAACTCAATTTCGTTCACGTCAACTCTTTTGAAATTTCTATCAATCCGGCCAAATAGCTCTCCAGCTTCAAAAAAAAAATCCCGCTCCTGTGGCTTTCCAAAGCCAAGCCATTGTAGTTTGGGGTGCCAAATTGGAATTTTCTCGATTCCAAGAATGACTAGCTTTTTTGTTCATCAAGTTACATATAAGAAATTGAGTTTGATGTGGACCAATTTTTTAGTCTCTTGCTTCATGGGAAATTACACTTTATTTCGAAATAAGTGTATGAACAACAAATATTTGCTCAAAGGCTCAACGAGGTCTCATTGCTGACTGCACTACAGATGAATACTACAGAAGAAGGCTTACCCAATGGGATTAGTAACTGCTGTCGTAGCTTTTTTTCTGCGTTTCGTGGGTAGACCGCAAAATGGTTACACAAAATCATCTTTTATCCGAATTATTAGGTTATTGCAAAAATAATGTCCGTTTTGCAAAGTTTCAATTTAAAAGGCTATAACTTTGTTCAGTCTCAATATTTCTGAATGTAATCAAAACCATTTGAAGCAATCTTGTGCAACCTAACGCGCATCTGATTTTACTGATATGGCAAACGGGAAGAAAACCATGCGGCGAAAACCCTGAAGTTTTTCTTTTGAAAACCTCGTCTTTGAGAGATTACAACTCCCTTCAAGTTTTGTTTCCTAGGCTGCTAACCAGCTTATTTTGTAGATGCAAGCCAGTAATATACGCCTGCTAAGAAAAGACTTTAACGGAAGAGTTCTGCGAAAAGAAAAAATAGAAATCCAAAATTATCCACTTTTTTGAGCCCATTTGTGGTAGTCCTGGAAGTCCCAAAATATGGAAATTTGAAATTCTTCATACACTGAATAGCTAAATATTTCTCGAAAGTTGTAGGAAAGATGTCCTGACCTCAAGCATACAGAAATGAGCGAAGCTTCGGCGATTGTCTTAGTTGTGAAAAACTTTTGGACCCATAGAATGCTCCAGCACGTATCTATTAGGTTACTAAGTAAGTTTTCGGACATTTTCAAGCTAAACTTGCTATTTCCCGGGCTGTAATGCATCTACGAACGCGAAGTTTTGTAGTCGTACTCTCACATATACGCGGCTTATACCTGCGCAGGTGGGAGGTGCTTAGGGTCAATAGGGGCGGAGTCTGCCACTTTTTGATTATCTCATTTTTCCTGCTAATTAAGCTCAAATCCAAACAGACTTTGCATATATGTATGTGAGTTCATGTCTGCTATATATTGAAGCATTTGTGAGTGCTACAGTGTTTACAGAAGGTGGAGTTTTGAGCTCGGTCGAAATCCTATGTCTCCTAATTTCCGCCTCCTTTGTCACAGGATTAATTAGTCATGGTTGTGATTAGTATGGTCTTGTAGTGTTTGCTTTCCTCTATCGAATGACTTACAGCATGCCCTATTTGGTGCTTGCATCGAAGCAAAATTTTTGTCTAACGGCAATGTCCGAGAACTTTCATCAACCTAATATTTCGGGACGTCGATTTCTCGGTTCAGATACTTTATCTACTTAAACATGCTATAGGAAGAATCTGCTTTTATGCCTGAATCGTGGCCAAGAAAGTTAAAGCAATGAAATTCCGATTTTGAGTGCGAATGTGCAAAATGTTGGCAAAATTTCACAGATGAGATATAAGCTTAATTCTACAACTATTAATAAGTACATGAAGAAAGCTTTCCAGTGATATGCAGAATCCTTATCAAAGAGAATTTTTGAAGGAAAAAATTTGTTCGTAATGTAGGCCTAGAAAAACGGACGTTATTTTTGCAACAGCCTAGTAGATGAATTAATGCATCTTTGCAAGGATAAAGTCGTCGTAAGTCGATTCCACGCGTTTGATCGTATGGATTGATCTGGTTCGGAGTTGAATCCTCAAAAACGTCTCCTGCGTACACCACACAGCTATTTAGTCTGAACTTATTGACTCTTTCCATCTTTGCGTCTTTCCTCTTCCCCCTTAGCTTTGCAAAAATTGATCTGATTAATAATCCAGTTTCGAACACTTTAAATTTCAAAAGTATTGTAGAGTTTAACGTATTTTTGAATATTTGGGGCGTCCTGTAAATGTAATGTAAATGATTTAGAAAGCCTCGGAAAGCTACTTGAAGGAGTCAAAATATCTACACTGCATAAAAAACCTGTTGTATTTATGTGACCGAATATCAAGACTCCAAATCGTTCGCGAAATAGCTGAATTCACACAAAGCGAAATCGATGGGCTCACAATTTTGGGGATGGGTTTTGGAATAAATATAAAAGATAACACAAATGTTAAAAAGGAGAAAAGTTGCGTTGAAAATTTCTTGTATACTCTTACATTATCGTTCTTTTCAATATGAGGAAAGTTAAATAGAGGGTGAAAAGCTTCTATTATTTTTGACTCAACTTATTTTGGTACGGACATTTTCCACTTGCTGACACATAACTCGGACAAAGTTTTGAAGATTCGATACTGTCGACGTGCGTGGTCGTGGATATTTGCCGTCCTAGACGACAAAGTCCAAAGTCTAGGCTGCCATGGATAATGAATAGGATGTTCTAGAATTAGCTCTCTCTATACAGACCTTGCGTCTGCATCTTTTCATTGTGCTGCTTTGTCTCTACATCCAAGATGGCACAGGCACTTTTTCTCAGCACCAAATTTGTAAAGGACTATCCCAGAGTACGCACTTTTACGCAAATGAAACTTCTTTACCTCCTACTATACCCAGAGCGATCCGAATCAATCAAAGATCTCATAGACTTCGTACTTTGGTTTCTGCAAGGAAGTCCGGTGGTATTGAGAGTCTCGTTCCGTTATCACGCATTGCTCTCTACTCATATCTTACTCATCCTCTCTCCTCTTTTACTCGTTGTATATTTACCTCTCCTCTCAATTTCGTCTTGTTGATTTGTGTTGCACGATAGCCTTGCTGGACCAAAAGAGAAAAATTACATTAACTCACTAAATTGCATGATGGATAGAGCGATTGTTGGGCTACCATGATCGAAACATTTCTAAACAAAATGAAGCACAAGTCAACACCTCCAAACTATAGATCTATGAAGAGATTTTGGATCGACTATCGCAAAATAAGATGGAACGTTGTTCTACTCTTTTATAAAATACAGTTAGTAGCATACTCATTATGCGATGCTTTCACAAAACTTCCGACTACAGAGCTGCACCTTGGCAGCTACTGCATGATGCTTCATTTGTACTTGTGCATCCTCATTTTCCGAGCCTCTAGAAAACTTTTTTTAAACAAATCGAGTTGTTGCAGATGGCTTTTGCCAACCACCGCCCTCATGCTTATCATCTGCAGTGACCGAAAAGGTTAGCGTTGATAGTTTACTCTAGCGAGATCGCAAGAGACAATATTCAGCAGTTTTATAGGTCATCTTGCTCTTAGTCGACAGATTTACGGCTAATCGGGGCCCATGCTGGAAAGACTTATCCCAGTCCTATAACGTAAGCGTTAACCTTGGCGGGACCTACTGTGACAATGACTATACTGTAACACTTTCAGGACGATTTCAACATGAAGACGATTACTTCGGCCGGAACTACGTCCCACCACGCACATGTCATGTAAGTTGATTTATTCAAAAAAGAGTTGACTAAAATACATCAAATCGAAATACTGTTTGAATTCTGAGTGAAATGCACTTGATTTTTAGACTCTATATGAAAAGACAACTGAATACAAAAACATGCATTCAAATAGTCTTTCATAGACACTAATAATTTGTCATATGTAAATCTTGCGAGGAAAGGTTTCTTGCGCCTTTTTGAGCAGTGCTTGACACGAAGAAGACCCATATTCCCAAACATCCATGATCTTGTTGTGGAGAACAGGAGTCAAAATAAATCTAAAGGCTATGCTCTCAGAAAAAGTTTTCCGCGAGAATCAAAACATTCTGGCAGTTTGCGTAATGTTTTGGAAAGGTGAACTGTTGAACAATGACTAAAGCGCAATTTGAGATTTAGAGCACAAATGTTTCCGCAAAAAATCGCATAGTTTGATATTCGTATCATTGTAAATGAGTGATGCTTTTTAGCTATGTTTTTCTAAGAAGATCCCCTAATTTCGAACTGGTTGCCGCAGAATTTTATAAAAATAAAACATGGAACATTCTCTAAGGAAATTGTTGAGATGCCGTGAGTTAGAAAGTAATCATCTGTTTTTGAAAGAGAAAATCAATAATCAATACAACAAATGCTGCGATCAGATACAACTGAATGAATTACATCTTCTAAAGCATCACGGACTCGCCAAATGTTTTGATCCCACAGAAAAAAATAATTTCCACGCAGAATCCCTTACTTCTGAGCTTGTTTTTCGCAAATTTCTTGGAAAATCTGTCAAAACGCAGCAAAATAACTCTTTTTTTCAAGGTAAAGAACATTCTGAAGTTCCGTACTGCTGTGAAAAATTAGGGAAAGCCCTTTTGGTTAGTGTCTACCTGAGAATAATACCGCTAAAACACGAAAAAATTGGTTGAGGAGATCTTGCGAACATATTTTTTACAGAGATAGGGTATTCGGAAATAAAGCTTAACGTTTTCTAAAAATGAGCTTGATTGACTGTCTAATTTCTAAACTGATTTTACAGGCATCAAACGTAGTTTTTTTGTCTCAAAGGGTCTCCAAATCTTACAAGAATCGTAGTGTTCCGAAAAAATGGTATAGCATTCTTTTAATTACCTGATTCGAAAATTTTTCCAAAATTATACGAAATGTCAGACTCAAATATTTTGTGACTCCAGAGAAGATGCATAGATTCTGAGAATTTTTAATCTGCTTAGGATGTCATGTCACAAAAACATTGTGGAATTATGCAAGGTACAATATGCTATTCAAAATTTTATAACTTCAAAGCTTGCTCTATTCCATGCTACTTTTGCGTGATTTCTTTCAAACATCAAATATAGTACCGGCATACTTCCGAGAATGTACTTGTTTGCTGCATAGGTTCTGTACGATTGCTATTGTCTTGTGTTCAAAGTAGCTGTTTTAAGAGGCTTTCACCTTTCATGTGGTAGTATTTGCACCATTTAAGCGATCTTGCCGTTTCTCATAAGTATAGTTACAAAATCCTCAATAGAGAATGCAGGCCTAGGATCCTAGGTGGCGAAAAACGTTTACCCAACAAATGTTCTTGTTAGAAAATTTCCATAATGCCCCCTCCAATTCGAACTATTGTTTTTGCCGCAGAATAAGGGTGTAATGGGCTGGCCTATGCACAGTTCATTTGTATATAAAAATCGTCGTGCTTGCAAAATTTGTTGCCAAAAGCTAAGCTTTTATGGAGATGTTTTACGGGCAACAAATTTCCGTAATCAGACACGATCGATGGTTCGAGCATTGTAGATGATAAAGTAAAGCAAGAGCTAACAAGGCCCATTCACCAATAACTCTTCGCCACTCGCGGTATTTGTAGAATTTTTAATTTGAGTTTACTAAAGCGAGATCAAAAAACAACTCAGCTTTTCATTTGCTCAAAAAACAGATCTAAAAAGTTTTATGCATTGATTCTGGTCGTGAAATAGTCTTCAAAATTCTTGCTTTCTGATAAAATATGCTTGTCGTTATGAGCATCCCCATGTCAAAAAGCGGGGAAGAAATTGTTGCAAGATTTTTGACTTTTTGCCTGTTTCTAGTATTGTTTTCGCAGGCCTTACTAACATTCTGATAGCCGAAAACTTGCTCAAGCTGCTCACCAAAATTCAGCTCATCGAAAAAAGTCAGTTTTGAGGAAAGTTATGATGCTTTGAACTTGAAAATTGCAACGAACAAGAACTAAAGCAGCAAGGATATATGAAGATCGACAAACAGTTTAGATGACCACTTCGTGTTCGGAGACGGTTTGCGAAATCCACTGAAAAATTTACTATTAAAGGCACCGTCCACCCAGATTCTCACCTTCCATGTTTTGATCGTGCTGTGGCCTTTGCATGTCCCTTATTCCGAGTATAAAGTTAAGAATCCGCGAAAATACAGTAACCGAAGAACCCGCAGCCGCTTGTTTGGAACGGTGATGGGATGGGCTCGCATGGATGAGCGAGCATTACTGGAGGGTGGTGCCGACTTGGGGTCCTCATGTTTCTTCGCTGTTCCGAAGCAATTTTCTCGTTTCGGAAGCGACATTCAAGCCGTGACTCGGGCATTGGCTTGGTAGGGCTCCTACTATCGTAAGTTGCCAAAAGCTCAAGACCCCTTACTTAAAGTGGACGGTGCCTTTAAAATTGAATGTGCAACTGCTTGAGCCTGATATGGAAGATTGGAGGCTCTAGCAGTTCGTTTGTGATATTTCTTGTAATAATAATTATACAGCGAGATATAGACGTTTTTCCACTAGACGTTTACTGAAAATTGCGTCTTTCAACTTATAAGGTACTCCCAAGTATGGTTACAAATTTTACTGTAGTTATCGCACTTTATCATCTCTTGTGGTCACTGACGGTGGGCCTTTGGTTTCTCTTTCACCGTCGGGGTATTAGGTTACCGTAATTAACTCTTCATTGAAGACTTCGAGGTCGTAAAAAGCCGAAAACACTCAAACAGAATAAAATGATCTGGCAATCATCAAAAAGTGAAACATTTGCTTGCATTTTACTGAACAAATGTTGAGTGAGGGAAAAACAACAAGAAAACTTCTCCTCGGGAACTGGTAACAATCATTCATAGGACATGAAAACGCTGAGGGGATCTTGAGTATATTGCGGACCTCTCTCCAAATAAAAGTGGCATTGCATCTTCCCCCTTGTATTTGAGCTTTTTCTGACGAATGACGGTGAAACAGTGTAACACACAACGATTTGAGCTCACTGTGTACTAGACTAACAAATTCTTTTTTTCGCAGAGAAATTTTGTATCACTGTACCAGTCGAACAAAGAATTTTTGAGGTCCAAATAAAAAACTCTCAAAAAGCGAAGCACTTTGACACTTTTTCAAATGACCTAACATGAGATTTTCAAATACCCTTCTTCAAGATACGCTTGATAGTCTGTGTCACTGGAATATGCACGAACTCTGTCGATTTTTTCATTGCTATAAATCTTAAAATTATGAAAATCTTCGTAAGATTTCAAACAATTTAACATTGCATTATTTATCTTGCGAGGCGAGCATCGTCAGGTTTCATCACGAACTTTGGTAAGAAAAAATGCAGGAACGCATATCTTTTTTGCGAGCTTCTTCGGTTGTAGTGATTCTTAAAATCATGATGTAAAGAAAGCACTATATTGATTCACCAAACAGTGCTTGTATCTGCTTGAATGTTTTGATAAGTGCTTGACTATCGTAAATGGTTAATGCATAGGGATTCTTATGCATAAAAAATGGATGTAGATGCAACTTTTAGAGCTTCTACCTGAATATAGCAAAGTTTCTCTTGAGAACCATTTTCAGTTAATCTCCTTATAAAAAATAATGTTTTGCGCTTGCTGGTTTGTTGATTAAATTCACTGTGAACAGCACATCTCGGAGAAGAATTGGGTCAAAAATGTTTCTGTGCCTCGCCGAGTTCCTTGTTCTGACGCCAAAAATTTTTTTTGGTTGTTGCAGTTTAAGGAAATATATATGTATGATGATAGCGCGGACTGCCTGGAATCGTCAGCGGAATTTGTCGAGTACGCTACAAAGTACTGTAAGAAGCTCAAAAAATACAAACGAACTTGGTGCTCAATGCTTAATTACGGCTACTTTGTATCATCACCAGTGGCCGTATTCATCAACGAACCCTGAGGGTTAAGCTAAACCTCCAGGGTTACTTTAACCCTGAGGGTTCATTGGCCGTATTCATCAACCATAGGCTAGAGTTTACCACGGAACGCGATCTATCCGTATCGATCAACAAACCTGTGGCCGTATTCATCAATCCTGAGGGTTAAACTAACCCTGGAGGGTTAAGGCGTCTGTTACGCGTGCGCTGTGCAAACTCACATCACAGAATGCCTAAGTACGGGCTAAATTCACTTTATACTTCCATTCTTTCACTAATAGTAGTATAGTCAAAGAATAAGCTTCTAACACTAGTTTTTAAAATAAATCTCTAGCATACTTGTGCAGCATCGAATCTTACAGCGTGAGTTTAGTTTCATGTGTGCAATTGTGCAGTGTAAGTTCTACTTTTTCATTTTTCATTTTCATTTACATAGGGAACCCTATGTGAAGATTATAACAACACTGAACAACAGTACATGCCACAAGGCATGACAGAACAATAAAAAACAATCGTGAACACGTGCAAAGGAAAAGAACAATCGTGATTATGAATATTCAGATGAAGAAAGTAGATAGCTCTTAAGGACGGCTTTTTTTAACTTTTGCGCAGTTCGTTTTATACCGGGCTTGTGCTACTCCTTTAGGGGTCAATGCGTGTTATTATAAAGGGGTTCTTCTGTTTTGGCACTTGTCAGAGTGGAATGCCATTTTTCCTCGTCGCATTCATTTGTCACCAAAGCTAGAATTCTTTTTCTCGCGAAGTCAGGGTTTCATGTACTTCGAATATGAACATAAAACGAAGTCGAAACTAAATACTATAACAACAACCAATACTAAATGCCATAATACACATTGATCGTTTTCCATAAACTGTTAGATGCGAGTAAACGTTTGTATGAAGTGTCAGGGTAGAGTTAACCTTGCTCTGAGCTAGGGTTGAATTAACCCTGATGAATCACGTAAGTGTAACCCTCCAGGGTTAGTTTAACCCTCACGGTTCGTTGATGAATACGGGTTAGTCGCTTTCGGGGTAAAATTAACCCTCAAGGTTAGATTTAACCCTCAGGGTTAAGCCTGCCCTGTGTTTCATGAATACGGGTTAAACGCTTTCCAGGGTTAAACTAACCCTCCAGGGTTAGTTTAACCCTCGGGGTTCGTTGATGAATACGGCCACAGAAGTATCGTTTTGGCGAAAATCGAGGTTTTTGGGGTTTTGAAATACAATGAAGTTCCAACCAACTCTAATCCGAAACATGTCAGAGTAGGCAAAGGTATGCAACAACTATAGTTCTGAAATTATTTGAGAATGCAAATTTACAAGTTCAGGAACTACCTAAACCGAGATTTGCGATACGCTCATCACTTTTGCATAAACCTGATATTTGCTTGGATTCGATATTTAAACGTCTTATCATCGTAACGATTGTTACTGTAATAATGACAATTGCTGATATTTTTGCATTCTAATCTCTAGAACGGCACTTACTACGAGAAGATATGGTAATCCCATCTGAAAATGAATTCCAAGAAAAACAATCTCCATCTATTCCTTATGCATACCGATCATATGCATCAGGGCTAGGCACAGGTGGCTTATAAGTAAGCTGGATTTCGTTTTTGGGACAAAAAACAAAGTTTTTGTGGCCGGAAAGACACAAAATTTGAGACGTTTTTTTTGGTCGACGTTTCATTTTTTGAAAATTTTTTAGGGATTATGGCCTAGGATCTCTGGGGTCAAATAGGACTTCGTAAAAATTCGCAAAGGTCAAGGGGACTTCGCTTTTGCATTTTCAACTAGCCACCTCGTTCCGAGCCCTGCCATGTATCTTCCAAACATCTTCCATTTTTGCACAACCAAAAAAGGTCTGAGTCCGGACCACTTTTAACCCATCGACGACGACGTGGACCACCGGTGGCCCACGCACTTTTTGCCACCAGGGACGTTGTGGACCACCGATTGCCCACATTCCTTGCGAAATCATATTCTTTCCAGTTCTAGTCTTTTTTCCATAGTTTAGTATTTTTTCAATTTTTTGCACTCTTGGAACCTGTAAACTTTGTCGTCCAAGAAGATGACTGTAGTTGTTTACAAAACAACTTTCTTTTCTAAATTATTAGAAAACTTTCACATGCCAAAAGTGTGCAAAATCGCGTCGTCCCACAGCGCCGCTATGCAAAATTCAGTCGTAGTCGTCATGGGTTAATCATACGCTCAAAAAAGCGAGGTAACTTATCCTTGTAGAAGTTGTGAGTTGTTGGCAGCTAGTAAGTGCCTAATCAGTACCGTATGTAGAAATGATCTGTGCACACAGTAACCTCACCCTCCAGAACATGGAGTGAGAATTGGTTTTTAAAGATTTTCAACTAATTGTTTCCGAACGTGAAGTGGTTTTGCTCGAGACCTCTAAATTTATTTTCTTTTCGAAATATAGTTTTTTCACAAATTTCAGTGCGAATTGAAGGCTGATATGCTAGAGTCTTCAACTACGTGTCGAAGATTATATTTTGCTCTTTTGGTCAATGATTTTTCCGTTAGATTCAAGAAAAACTCATTTTATTTTTGGATCTGAAATAGCACAGGAATGTAACAGTTTGTTCGGTTGTGCAGGAATTTTCCCACCCTGGCCTTAATCTCGCTACTAATCCTCGGATATTACGACAAAGCAAGTGCCGCCCCTTCTTCAGTTTCGGTCCAGGTTCTCAAATCAGGATATTAAAAGTTTCAGATTTGATTTAGTACTGAAATTGGCTCCGGTCAAGGCCATATTTCGAATTTAAGGGTTTTCGAGATTGCTCTTTTTGGTAGTGAGATTTGTTTATCGCAAAATAGGGGTTCAGAACCGACCACCAAGACTAAAGTTCGAATTTAGGGGCTTTTGAGATTGCTTTTTTCATACTGAGACCAAAATTCGGCTATTTTTTTAAAGCCGATGACTGCCAGAATTTTCCATCCGTCATTCCCATCCGCTCAGAGTTCGGCTAATTTTTTAAGGTTGTGTTCTAAAGTTTTGGAAAGAATTAATTATGACGCAAACAGAGCGAATATCGGTCTATACAGTGGTATTTTTAGAATCTCATGGTCTGCTTCGTTTAGCTTTAAAAAAAATTATTTTTTCGAAGATCTCGTTTTTTGGTAGAGCCATGAAACATACAACTGCAGCAAAAACATGAAAGCTTTAGAAGACATCAATTGTGCATAACAATCAAGTTTGATTTGCCTCAAAAAACCAGCTTTCTGGAACTTTCGGTACTCCTGTGCGCTAATGTAATCAAAAAGCCTCGGTTTTTTTTTCAATAAATAATTATTACAGACTTGACAAACGTGACTCATGTAATATGAAAAAAGTGTGATGTAGCCAAAGGTTTACTCTGCATAACGTCAACTGGCGCTCTTTGAAAATATCAGGAGAAGATTTTCCAAAGATCTGGTAGATTGCGTTACGGGTAAGCTGCCTAAAAAGCCATGGCAATAACATCGCAAAGACAGTATGAATCAAAGAAGATTTTAAGACGATCTAATATATAAAGCACATTTAAGAGCGTGTTTGGTAATTGATTGGAAGTTATGGCTGGTATAAAAACACATAGCTATGCCGTGCCCTCTGTTTTGCCTGAAGGAAATGGTGATTCCTTTTAGGTAAAAAAAATTAGTACGGAAGCACGTACGTGTTACAGCATTTGACATTTTTTCCTGGAAAATCTGATCTTTGTAAGAAAAACATTCTTCGTCTCCAAAAAAAAAACTGTTCGACATCCGCCTATCGCACATAACATGTATCATTATCGAGATTAAAAGCATAACCTTAGGAAAAAGAAGGAAAAGCTGCACCGAATGCATGTTAAGACTCATCTAGGTCATTATTGTACCCGGTTATACAATCGTTTGAAAACTCGGCAAAACTTGTGGGAAAACCTGATATAATTCATTCTTTATTCTGTGAAAATCTCTGCAAGAAACACATTTTTTGACCCCTCCCTCAAAAAAATCTTCAGGAACATCGCTATCAGTGTTGCACGAAACATATACAGTTATTGATAAATCTGAATTTTGATCTTGGTCTCTAAAAAGCAATCTCAAAAACCTTTGATTTCGAAGATTGGTCTTGATCGGAGCAATTTCACTACTGATGTTTAATTTCGAAAGATTCCTCAGTAGAGGTTTCTTTCCATTTGTTTTCCAATTTTTTCTAGAGCAGTAAAGTCTATGAGGAAGGAAATTGTTTTGCAGGAATAAAAATGAATTTAGAGGTTGAGCAAAACCATTAGCGTATTCGGAAACAGCGTAACTGTATATCTCTAGATACCAACTTTCACTCTGATCGGACGAATATTGCTACTGAACTTTGTGTTAGAAATTAGAGTGAAATTCAGTTTTGTCTGATCTTGGATGAGCGTGGAGGTACTTTGTACACAAATCAGCTATACATACGGTGCTAATTACGTGTTCGATAACTATACTGCCACAACCTTTGAGATAAGATTCGTCCCTTTTTTCTTTCTTTTTTTTTCAAAACAAAGCAAATACAGGCTTTGGTTTAGATTATCATGGATGTAGTCTTTCTTTACATCATCACTTCAAGTTGAACAGCTCAAAAAAGCTTCCAGAGCTAAATTTTTTTTGTTGCCTTGTGTGTAAAAGCTTAGCATTTGATTGAGATCAAATTTTTGGTGCTCATATGATGCTCAAAACAACGCGATAGTGACAACATTTATTTTCAACTGGACCATTACAGTATATACAATTGTAAACATTAATGATTTACAGGTCATTGTAAAAGTTTGATTCTGATAATTTCAGAGTCGATGACTTGACGTCCCGCTGCGAAGAAGTGCTTCCACAGGTAAATTTGCGAGAAAGGATGAGTGTGAAATAGCGAGGGAGAGTAGGGTGAGGGTAAGAAAGAGAGTGTGAGGGTGTGGAAGTGTGGGAGAGTGAGGAGGAATGGGAGTGTGAGAAAAGGTAAGTGCATGGAAGGGTGAGTGTGTGTAAGGGTGGTAGAGTGAGGGTGAGATTGTGAGGGAGTGTGTGGAAGAGAGGATGAGTGAGTTAGGGTAAATGTGAGTAAGCGGGAGGGGTGTGAAAGGGTGAGGTGTGGTAGGGGAGGAAGTGAGGGTGAGAAAGGGTGGGCACGGAAGAGAGTGACGGGCGGGCGTAAATCTTCGTCCAAACCCCTGAGCATGTACAGGCACCCCATCTTCCTAATCTTTCATCTCCCCCCTACCTAGCTCACACTCTCATCCTCTCCTTCTCTTTCATACCCTCACCCTACCACACACTTACCCTCCCACATACTCACCCTTTCACACTCTCCCTCCCTTTCTCACACTTCCCTTCTACCTCACACTTACCCTCAACAACTTCCACACCCTCACCCTTGCTTACCCTCACGCTTCCACGTTAACACATACTCACCCTTACATACAAAACTTACCTTCAAGCCGATGCCGTTACCCTATCGCCGCCCTCGACTGGAACTTTGACCTGAAATCTTTTAGTATACTTTTAGTATATTTGAAGATGTTTCTTGTGACATAATGCGTCCTCATAATAAAGATCAAACCCATATTTGTTGATATTATCGAAGAAGTAATTCCAGTAACGTTACTAAGCATATTTGCTAGTTATTAATAATTGTGAGAATGCTCCTCAACACAGAGCTCTGCTGCACTTGTTGCTATTCACAGATTAGAAAGGTATATAGTCCTTGTTATCAAGACAAACTTTTCTTAAGGGTATCTGGAATAGCAAGTGTGAAGTTCTCCAAAAAGATCGTAATTTGACGAGAGAAAGGGGGAATCCCCCGGTTTTAGCGACTAGTAATGGTGACCGTCGCTTATGACTAAGATGTCGGTAATAATGAAGATTCAAACCACACACTGACATGATAAAAATTGTGCAAAAGACTTTGACGGCAATTTTCTCCTCCTTGTACCCAAGTAAAAGTTACATACACTATGTACAGAATAAGACTGGGAGAAATCCTATAGAACACAGCGTAGATTTTTTTAATCAATTATCGGAAAACTGTGAAAAACGAAAAGGCTATTTTTTTAAACACCATGTGTTCCTATCCACTGAAATGTTAGATCCCACGCGTAGTGAATTTGTTAAGGAATTTGTATAGCAATGTTGCAAAAGATCAGGTAAGCTGCGAATTGGAGATGTGATTGACAAAACATAGTCTAAAGCGTAGCACAAAGTGTTCTTTACAAATCGAATAAGTGGTGATAAAAGTTTCAAATTCACAGCATGAAGTGGCTTGATATTACCGTGGAAAGTTTTCAAATCTGATTGAATTTGTAAAAGAAAGACATCACACTTTGTTAGCTGCTCTTTTTGCAGAGAAAAAATCTTGAATACTCTAAAATATTCGAAATGCTCATATTCTGCAAATGCTTGAGCCTGCTTAATGAAATACCATTTGACACACATAGTAGAGTGACACCAAAATGCAAAAATTGAAGACGCATTCTATATCGTAAGGTTTTGGCCGTACTTTACCCCTGTTACCCACTAGTAACACCAGTAACACGGTTAACACTATTAACACGAGTAACACTGGTAATAACACCGGTACCACGGGTGGATAAAGTATGGCCAAAGCCTAAGCATGAAAAGTTCTTCTTAAAAATCGTTTCGAAAAAATGGTGGTGAATTGAATAGGATGCTTGATGCAATCTTCCTTAGAGGCAGTGTCCCGGCAGATTTTGCACCTCCACCTTTTTGCATGTTTTAGGCCTTTTCGCCACGTAGAATCCGAATTTGAGCTTTGAACGGGCTGAAAAGGCCGATTTTGGGGCGTTTTCCTAATTCCAGAAAAGCAGCTTGGACGAGATTTTTAATGGAAAGTTGGGGGAGGTCCTCAGACGAAGATCCTGCCGCCTGTAATTCTTGCTTTGGATAGCATGCATCATGGGGGATAGCGCTCGTGGGGTCCCGCGCCGAACAGGCGGGAAGGCCGTCCAAGCGCGCGCCAGTTGGGGTTGCGCGCGCCGGTTCAAGAGCCATTTTCTCGGCCCAGGGGGAACATCACCCAGCCGGAGTGCGCCTGGAGGTCGATGGGGTGACCAGGAACCCCACCACGCGTATATCCCCCAGGACCCGAATCTGCCGGGACACTGCCTTTAAGATCGACTTAAAGCTGCAAAAATTCTATGCTAACTCTTTCGTAAACGCGACGATGTGATTTTACTTTGGAACGGTGTTATAGATAACTGGGCGAGTGAACAATGTCATAGATGCAGCACATTTTTTCCGTATGAATGGAAGTTATGAACCTAGGTTAAGAACCACGCAAAAATTGCAAAACGAGGCTACTAGAGAGCTACAAAGTCTTGCCTTGGTTTTGTTTGGATGCTTTTTATAAGGTCACTATGAGATTTAAGAACTCTGCCTCAGTTTGTAATCTGACACATTTTAGAAAACGAGAAAATGATAAACCAATGTTTTGAATGTTGCTATGCTACTCAGCAGTGGCATGTCTGGATAAATAGTGGTCTGACTCACTAAGTATGATACAATAACATTTATGCAGAGACGATGCTCACCATTATAAAGGATTTGAACTGTGCTTGAAAAAATTGCTTACAATAAACAAATCCTAGAACATCTTGAAACGGCGAATTTTGGTTGAAAGCGTGCAGAAATAAGAAACTGCAAGTTCGCGTATTCTTCCAAAGAGCGTCAAAAATGCAGCACCTTTTCTTTTGCCTTTCTATGTGTTCTTGCACGATGCTTTGAATGATTTTAGATAGTAAGAGTTATTCTCGACGCTCTATCTATCAAGCTGTGTTATATTGTTCGCCTTTTTGATGCAAACCTTTTTTTTCCAAAGTTTTTCATACTTTGAGATTTCTTGCTTCATTTTCTCAAGTGAGAACATATGAAAAGGAAGCTTTCAAAATGAGAAATCGAAAAGATATTACGTTCCGCTTTCACAAATAAGTCAGAGTGTTTGAGCACGAAAAATCTGAACGTGCAAGGAAAGAATGATATGGCTCTCATATGCTCAAATGTGCTAAACAGTTCAAAATATCTTGTAAAGAATAGATTTGTAGAGAATCCTCAATTTCGAGTCTCTTCTCGATGTCAGGCAGACATGCTGAGAAAGGATTCGAATTCATCCGTATCTTCGTTTCAAGTGGATAAATCTACTGCGTCTTCAATATTTACCCATCCAATTGCTTGTTACACTTTAGAGTAATGTGAATCACATCTTCGCGGACATGGAAAAGTCAACATCGAATTTCTACAGATTCCGAGCGGTCTTGTGGCAAAACAGCATTATATCTTTATTCAGTTCACCACCATTTTTCAAACTATCTCCGCAACTTTCTCAAGCTTGAAAGATGGATTAGTCTTTGATTCGTACACTTAAATGGCACTCTGTGGTGTGTTTCAAATGGTATTCCAAGCAAACTTTCAAACTCTTGTAGAGATTCAAGCTTTCTAAATATTCTAGGTTAATTAACATTTCTTTTGCAAAAAGAGTAACACATCACTTTTTGAAAAGTAGTGTGTTCTTTTCTTCTTGCAATGGTTTAACCATTTTCCAAACTTTCCATCGTAATACCAAGCTAACTCATGCCGTGAATATGCAACTTCCATAATCACTGATTAAATCTGGGAAGAAAATTTTGTGCTACGTTTTAGAATGTATTTCGTCAAACACATTTTCAACTTGCAGCTTACACGAAGCTCGAGATCTCTCCATTTCAGTTATAAGGGAAAAGCACATGGTGCTCAAAATTTGGCGTTTCCAATTTTCGCACTTTTCCAAAATCTATTGAAAAATCTGCGCTGGGTCGTAAAGGATGATTTCTTTTTCATCCTGTACGTGCCCTTTTTTACAACTTTTATTCCATCACTGCGGGCTCGCACCTTCGTCGATTTCTCAGCCTAATTATAAGTGACGTTTACAATGTGCTAGTCGCAAAGGTCTAGTTAGTATTGGATTTATGCTATGATTCTTTCAAAAAATTCACTTTCCGTACATTTCCCTACTTTACGGATGTTTACAAAGTTTCTGGCCTCAGTACTTCAACGTGAATTCTAACTCGATTTGCTATATGTGTTCGCTGACCCTAGAGACCACTAAATTAGGAAAAAAATTTTTTTGCTTCATGATACTCTAAAAAAGTAACCATTTTTTCAGCTCCCTCGAAGAGGGGGAAAACGCATTGTTTGACTTGTTCTACTTTTTTTCAATCCGGTTTGCGGAAAGAGGCTTGAAAGACCACATTAACTGTGTTCCAACGCGATAAAAAATCAAAGAAACCGCAAAAAACCCCCCTGATTTTTGCCGAATTGATAGTTAGGTTTAATGAGCACAATAAAACAAAAAGCGCGTCAAAATTCAAAGTGGGAGTACTTTAGGTCAGAAACTTCCCAAACACCCTGTATATATTAGGTCGGAACATAAATTTTGCACCAAAATAGATAGTACCGCAATATTTCATATTTGTCTGGCAAATCTTGATAAAGTAAAGCTAGCTCTACAACATGATGTTGAGAGATTTGCACCAACTATAATACTCGAAGTTTAAGGTCAAAAGCTAAGAAAATCCATGAGACGGTAAAGCTATTTTTCCAAGTATTAAAAAAGCCGCAACGTGGTTAAAAAAAAGCTAAACAAAATTCCTACTTGCTCACCCATAAACATTCCACAGCAGACATTTATTTATGCAGTTACTGTATTTTGTCTCGGCTGGAAATCGAAAAAGCAAAAGCATGGAGCGAAAGCTTTTGCTTCATGCTATGAATGCCTGGTGCAAAGACGTATACTCTGAGCAAGTTGCGGGTTTGCAGAATTAGCCGGAGTCATGAAATTTTCTTACTTTTTGCAACGGGTTCGATCGTTTTAGTTTCTTGTCTCAGACTTCGCGTGGATGGTTGTTGCAAACCTTCAAACATGTTTTTGTAGAGTCAACTTTGTGTCGATGATATCAGGATGTCTTAAAAGTTCTGCCGATTTTTTCCATCGCTCACTAAAACCCACAGAACACCAATCCTTAGACGATCTAAGTATCGTCTGATTCGGATTTTTATCTTTTTTCTTACTGCTATATTTGCTCTCTGATCTATTCCGTCTTTGCGATGTTATCGTCATGGCTTTTTGAGCAGCTCAACAGTAACGCCAAATCTTCCCTAAATCAAAAAAAATTTCTCCTGCTATTTTCAAAGAGCGCTAATAACTGTTATGTAGAGCAACATAACAGTTGCTCTTTGGCTACGGCGTACTTACTTAGATCACGTGGGCCACGTTTTTATCAATTCTTAGAAACTTGTCATTCAAGAAAAACCGCGGTTTTTGATTACGTCTATCACGTAAAGTTACCGAAAATTCCAAAAAGCTGATAAATCAAACTTGGTTGTTTTCCATGAATATTGTTTATTAGCAATCAAGTTTCAATTTGCAGAAATTCCAAAAGCTTGCATGTTTTGGTTGCAGCTGCGTGTTTCATGAGTTCAAAAATCGAGA